ACATGCACAGCTCGAGGCTACCTGGAAAGAGTGCTCTAAAGCTCAGGCACCTGGTAACCAGTACCAAATACCAGAGGAGATCAACCCACAGTCGGTCATGCCCCCCCGGGGTGAGTTTACTATCCTGCATATATGCGCATATACTCATCTTATATAGCTGGCTTCATCAAATTTACCCAATATCTGGCATTGTGCACCAAAGGTCGGCTCGGTGCCTACGCTGTCAAGAGGACCATCCATTCCCTTATGTCTTCGCTTTTCAGCATATGGCGGCGAAAGGCTCTTCAGATCGTTCCTCCCGATGTTCGTCAGCAAGTGTATGCATTCATAGACTCTGAAGAGCTTCAGCGCATTGCCCCCCTCAAGACTAAAGAATGTGAAAAGCACTTGCTCAGTGCATGGGATTTTGATATCATGGCCTCCAGCATCTTCGCAGATGTAGACGGCTTCAGGACAAGTCGCATGATGATTCAGATCCTCCATGCATTACTCCTGCAGAGCTTGTCTTCTGAGTGCCTGGGAGCAATTGTCGAAAGCTCTAGTCGTCGAGGATCCAACCAGGCCCTGCTCTGGAGGGACTACGAATTCCATATCATTCCCAACCCTGACGATCCCCATAGCCCACTCATCATCATCCGCCTCAGAATACACTTGCTCAAGGGTTATTGCAAGGACGATGCCAAGCACAAAGACCTCCTCCTGCTGCCTGAGACTGAATCTCGGGTGTTTTGCCCCGTCTCTTCAGCTGTTGCAATGGCCATCGAGGACAACGTCTTTCCAGATGTCAAAACTATTGAGGAGATATTTCACCCCAAAATCCCCCCTACTGAACACCACATCCTCATCATGTATCCAGAAGCAGCGACGAAGCCTGTCCTTTGTTCAGAAATCTTTGATGGCCTCATCTAGATCATCTCTCCTACTCGAGCTTTAAACTACAGTACCCTTGCTAGTCATCTTCGGCGTGTCAGCATGAACAAAGGCTTCATATATAGATTTGAATTTGCCTATCTATCCTTTCACTCACTCTTTTGTCAGGCCATGTCACCTGTTATTGTTGTCAGTGTGGCACATCAAATTGCATCTCTTGTGAGATGACTGCAGAAGATTGGTCTACCCTCATGGGTCATGTTGATGGGTCAAAGAAATTTGACATTTGTGTTTTATTTATGCTATCAGCTATGACTGACTTGCCTTTAGAGTCATTAAAAGACTCAACTCATAGATGTAGATCTCAGAGCCATCTTCCAAGGTAGAGATGAAAATGTACAGTACATGGAAGCTGCAAAGATATATTGGCAGCATGTGCCCTCTTCTCCTGCTCATGTTTGTCTCAGGTCTTGTCTGATATGTTATCTCACAGAGATGAAAATGCACCCAATGAGCTGACTGCAAAGAGCAAAGCAGCACTGTTGGCTGAACCAAAGCTCATCAAGATGGATATTGAATGAAAAAAAATATCATTTGTTTCTTGACCACCCCTACTCACCCTTTTGACAACTTCTCAGGTCACTGGTCTAATTCAGTCTGCATTCAAGCAGTTGATATGTACCAACATCAGCGAAGAATCTAAATCAGAACTGGAAGTGCAGATAGTTTCATTGAGATAGGAAAAGAAGAAACTTGATGACAAGTATATGAGAGCCTTCCAACATGAAGCAGACAAATGGGTTGTTGAATTTCAGACAGAACATTTCCATGTACAGTTGACTCAACAGTTAACTGGACAGGTACATGACTTTTCTTGTTCTCAGACCTGTCCTCATCTGTTATGCAGACCACCTATATCACTGTTTTGCCTATAACCAAGGGCAAAGAGAATGCAACCTCATCTCTTGTTGCCCAGCATTGCAAAGCTCTGTCCAATCAAGTGGCTCTCTGGAATGAAGCTATTGATACCTTTTTCCAAGAGGTCTATGGTAATGATGCAAAACCTTCCTCTGGCAACGATGCTATTGTTGAGTTTGTTAATAAATACTTGGTCTTGACAGTGCTCCCTTGCATGAAATGTATTGTTTGCTATCCTGGAGAGGATCTGATGAATGATAGCAAATATGCCATATGTGGCAAGGAATCTAGGTACATCAGGATTCTGTTCTTTGAGTGTTGTACTAATGATTTGTAGTACTATGTGACAGATAGGGAAATATCTGCACAACTGTCTGCAAAAGCAAAAGTCAACAGAGGCTTAAGACAATGCCAATGATAACTATCAACCTAATCTATGCTTGTGGCAAGACTGCTTCTTGGATGACAAGATATGGTCAATTCGGGAAGCATACATCAAACATATCGCTCAACATACGAAAATGTTGATGCAGCCAGCACCAATGGTTGGTGTAAAACATCTATGCTTGTGGGTCAACAAGATCATGTGTGGCAAGAAAGATAGCACATACACATCCACTGACTGGGCTGTTCACTTTGCTCAAGAGCACGGTCTCAACACATGTGCAACCATTGCTGTCAATTATTGTGCCCAGTGTGGTCTATGGTTTGAAGATGATGTTGGAGATCAGTCTGCATGGGAGGATCATTGTGTTTTGCATAATTTGGTGGATATCTAAAAGCACCTGGCAGGTGCAAAACTCATGTCTCCATGCTACCAGCAAGAACAATACATACCAGTCTTGAAGGACAGCGCACCAGCGGGCATGCAAGAGTGTTTTGACTATTCAACAGTTGTGTGTATTACCTCTATTATAGCATATATCAAGCTCACTTCAGTTTCAGGATGCATCCCTTGCTGGTAGCACCTCCAAAGGTGGGAAGAACCATTATTGTGAAATATGTACTGAGCAGTTTTTGGACATTTGTGAGCATCTGCCAAAGAATTGCTCAATGATGTGCTTGGTAACAGACAGTGTGCAAATGCAACAAGTGTCTAGATCATCAATCTAGATACTAAATCACACACACATACACAATCACCAATGTTAAGTTCAAGGGTGAGTACAGTAGAAGCACTCATGGTGTACTTAGATATTGATAATCAATTGGGTTTGCTTCAAAACAACTTCAATTCAAGTCTAGAAGTGTTTACATGAGATATACTAATTGTGACAGCAAGGTATATGGATGTGGGGGTTTTTGTAAGGTATAATTTGAGTGATTCAGACTCACAATGACTTTGTCTAAAAGAGCTGGTAAGGCTTTAACTAGTAAAGCTTTAACAATTGAACAATCAAAGACCTAGAGGTCTACAAAGAGCATAATTGCTCTGGAGTACACGGACTCGATTACAACACAAGCACACGCACTTGCAACAAAGAACCGAAGTTCTACAAAGAGTACACTGATTCTACAAAGAACTCACAGGTCCTGGCTTCAAGTACAAGACTTGCAAAGAGTACACAGACTCTAGAGTATACTGACTTGTCAACTGTTTGAACTTAAAGAGTTTTAGGGCTTATTTCACTTCAACTAGGCAATGTCTTTGGTCTGTGGTCGACTTAGCATGTCTAGATCACTTTAGTCAGTGAGGGAGCATGAGGCCTTTATATGCGGAGCAGTTCAATTAACTAGCAAGGTGCAAATGCAGGGACAACTCTTCTTTCTACTTAGTTCTTTTAGATTACTTATAGCTGCCCTTTTGGGGTTGACTTAATAAACTTAATTCACTTCAGTCGAGAATATGCAATTAAAACCAGTGATTGATTAGGTAGCTATAAGGTTACTAGTACAAATATGGAGGAATGCTTTCTTGCTGTTATGCATCTAGTTGCTGCTAATTTATACGATTTCTAGTCTAGGTATAGGAGCTTGTATCTAAAAGTAACTATGGTACAAGCTTTGAGTATCAATACAAACAATAAGTAATTAATTTACAAGGATTGCGCCATTCTGAGATTTCTATTCAGTTGGACAGAATGACTAGTGGTCATTCTATTGCCAAGGAGTGCCCTAATGGTCCATAGGAACTCCTCGCTACTCCTTCATGCCTTGCCACATGGATTCCTATTCAATACTACGGATTGTGTGGTATTTTGAGGATGTAACCACCAATCATGATTGATCGTTGGACCAAGATTGTATTTGCTTTGATCACTGCATGATCTTTAACTATCTCAGTGCCAAGCATCAGGTATTCAGTTATTCCAGGATTATTCATATTCTAGACTAAGTTCATTTTATGTTGTGAACCGTTGTGGACTTAGCAATTCTTTTCTAGGTTCGTTCAAGTCATCAAGATGATGAGTAATCTAGTCCTTCTGGGTTCTGCTTTATGTTTGTAACTCATCTTGATGTGTCCCTTTGGTTCTGACTATAACTAGTCTTGTTTTGGGCAGGGAATAGCGTTCAGTATTGAAAGCTTATAGAATTGACTTGTCTAGATGTTGCTTCTAAGTCCATTCTTATACTGCATTACTCACTATCTTATGTAGTATTCTAGCTATCAGTGTAAAGCCTTCACTATAGCTCTCTGTACTGCTTGTAGACTGCATTATTTGATAGAAAATTGCAAAATCTACAGGTAGCCTGATATCAAGTGTATCATCGGCTGAGTTTTTCTGCATCAAAAATGAATCACATTGCCATGCTCATGATGACATTCAATATTGCTTCATTGATTGGGAGCAGAAACAATGTCAAATTAAGCCACTGGAGATGATTCATATATTGATGAGCATTCTCAGAGACATGACAGCTGTGCTCCCCCAGCAGTTACAGGATGCAATGGATATGGTTTTGAAGGACACTCTTAGAATTACAGAAAAGGTGTTGGGGACAATGATTAACTAATAGCATCACTCTGCCAAGCAGGGTCAATTACAAGTACAATTACACTTGGAATACTACAAATCTTTCCATGAGTAAGAAAATCTAGGGAGAAAGGCTACAAGAGTTTCCAAGTCAAGTAATGCTACAAATCTTTGTCTATGAGCAGAAAATCTAATGAGAATGGTGTCCAAGTCAGTGGCTAAGGAAAGGAAATGCTTATAGTGCAGCTTGGAGATTCCGTTTGGTATATATAAACCTCAATATCAAAAGTAAACTAAGCTGGGATGGCCGAGTCGTTAAGGCGAGTGATTTGAACTATTGCTTATGTAATCAGCTTATTATGTAAGCATCAAATTATCACTTGGTGTTTCACCGCGTAGGTTCAAATCCTGCTTCCAGCGTTTTTGTTCTTTCTATTTTTGTTTGTTCCTGAAAGGCTCTAGATGTGTCTTTTCGAGTCTTCGCATCCTCGACCCTGACTGGGGGTCACTGGGCCGAGTACGAGACTTGGAGCCCGATGCATCTAGGCATTTCTTAACAAAGGCGGACCGGATGCCGTATTGATTTTACGATTGTATTCAGGAGCTTCGCACTCGGCCATCGTTTTCTTTACGTTTTGGTATTCCGTCATTGTTTCGGACATTACATGTCTTCCTGATACCCCGCATCCAGTAAAGGAAATCAAGGGCCGGGAGCGTAACTTACTATCCCGGCCCTGACTTTCTTCAATGAATACCAACAAGTCCAAACATCTCTTTCTTTCCGTCCACCATGACCGAGTACGATTTCAGTCCTGCTGCGATTCACCAATTCCAAGAGAAGCAGCGCAGCATACACAGATGGGTCAGCGAGACCAAAAAACATTCCCCATCTAATCCGTTTGTCCCGGAGCTCCCTCAGCGGGCACAGACATTCAATGTCGTGCGACCACCACCACCGGAGCGACGGTTATCATCGTCTTCATCGCGTCCTACAACGAGTTCCCGACCGAAACACACTAGATCGAGGACAGAAGCATATATCCCAAAGTCTTCTCATAGTCATTCCCGACAGCGACAACAACCTTTACGGTCCACCACAACCCCCGTGTACCCCACGCGACCCCAAGTTTACCAGCAACAGTCGATGCCGCAGTACCCGGCTAACTATTACTATATGCATCCCCAGAGGGGTCAGATGACAACAGTACGTCTTCTTCTCTGTTACCCCAGGCCACTCACCGTTAATCCTTACAGACACCCTACCAGCCCCAGCAACCCCAATACCCGTATCCTGTCCAGCAATATCCCGCTGCTCCCATTCCAAAGAAGGGCGTTTTCTCCCGACTTGTCAACTTTGTGAGCGGAAAAAACCCCAGTTCTCCTCCCACTCGCCAGCCAAGCCGGCATTCGAACAAGAAGAGGCGAGGGTATACCTACTGGTAGGTACCACAGTCTTTGGTTCACGATCGTCGTGATCGATCGTTCTCTCATGCAGAACCGCCTTTTCGCCGCCATATTGACATTCATTACTGCCGCGAATTTGTGAACTCCGCACCGTAATCCATCACGAAGCCAAAACGACTTTCATAATATCGCATGCACACGACTCTACGTACAGTTTACGATTCACGCCATCGTCACGGAGGAACTATACCCACTCATCATGATATACTCGTAGACTTTTACCAGTTTTAATGCGATATGTTTACATCACTGAGGATTTTTATCGAGGGGCACGTTACACAATCTTTCGCGCCCCCTCCACGCTGACTATTGCGTCATAGATCTGAGCGAGCCCTGTGACCTTGTCCAGGGCAACGCGTGGTTGCAACGTTTCGTGTCACCACACCGACTACAGTAGCGCGTAGTGCCTTTGTGGCTGGATCGATGAAACACGTATCTCAGGCCTCAGGAGCCAGACACGCCTCGAGGCTTGCTACAACGACTGGGAAAATCTTGAACCATGACTAGAGCTCTCTCTTGGCCCCATGTACTAACTTTGAGCTGCGGCCGGACTTTGGAAGGGTCTGGCACTCCCACGATTTCAGATCATCCCTGACAATTGTAACACCCGGAGAGAATAAGGAATCTTCAAATCATTCCGTTACCGGTATTCATTTTTGGCACCACCGCACCACCCGAACTCCACAATGGTATGGGCATCGTGTTATTTTGGGGGTGATTGTGATGAAGGTGAGTCAGGAAGAGCAAGCTTTTGTTGAGCTCTCATGCGGGTCATGAGATGCGGAGACGTATCCTGATTATCTCCATGCATTCGCACTGTTTCATTGGCTAAAAGACGTGATCTGGCTTCGCGAGGCGCCTCAAAAATCAGGATCCTTGAGGTCTGAAACCCAATATCCTTCTAACGGGGCTCATTCATCACAAGTCGACCGAAACTGATCAACGCCGTCCAGCAAAAATCACAACATCGATTAGCTTCTAACGGATGTAAGTCATTCATTTCTTCCAGACACCTGTCGTTTAAGGTCATAAATCCAATTGCCTGTACAGCAATGACAAGTCCGCGTGCCACTTCTTCCGATGCGAACCTTTTGTCGACGTCATAAAATAGTTAGAAACAGTGATGAATTTCTTCACAGTATACAAGTACAGAAACGGAGGTAAAGGATTGTGAACGCAGTCAACTACATAAAGAAGATGCCTTGGATCGTAAGTATTGTGTAACTAAAGGAGAAGGATGCTCAGCAAACGTGTGCGTGAGCGCGCATCATCTATCCCCTACATATCAATCGATAATCTAGTCAACACGGGCCTCCGTGGGTAGCTTTTCAGTATCATTCGCCCGTCGAGAAAAGTCCGAGCTGAAAAGATGCCATCCGTTGGTGGTGGGAGGATCAACACGAACGCCAGCTGATACATCTGATAATGGCTCCGTATCGATGTCAGAATCGACATCGGAGAACATGTCAAAGTCGGAGGCCGCTCGACTAGTAATGAATGAGGAAGAAAAATCAAGGGTCGGAAGGATGAACGATCCAGTTGGCTCCTCGAAATGAGAAGACCTCTCCATTTGATCCTCGTACTCTCCTGATATACCCGAGAGAATGGAAGAGGTATCGGAAAATGCGTCGTCATCGTCCTCTTCCGGTATCGTTCGCAATTCTTCCAGCGCGCACCACCCGCTTCCACTTTCCCCGATGATACTCCTTACTTCCGCTTTAGTCCAGCCGACAAACTCGACTTTGAGAATGGTGCAGGCACCATTGGCGTCGGCGCGAGTAGCGTACGCAGAGCATTGTACGCCCCGCTCCCAGACATTTGCCGCGTCAAGTCGGTGGAATAGGGACGAAACTCGCAAAGAATGCAGTTCGTGAGAGGTATGAATGGACGCCAACTTCGGTAATGGAAGAAGTGATTGATGAGAGGGCGTATCTGGAGGGAGAGGGGTACGCTCAGTAGGGGTAGGTGCGAGGGGGATGAGGAGAGAAGTTGTAATTCCGTTGCTTGGAGGAGCGGGGAAGTAGTGCTCAATCTCGGCATCGACAGTAGGTTCTGAAGTAGGGGCGGAAGGCAAGACAATGCTGTTCTCCTTCGCCTTCAAGGAGAGCTTTCCCCCGGCTTTCTTCTTGTCGTGCTTGATAGACTTCTTCATTGCCTCCCTTTCCTTCCTCATCTTGATCTCCCAGTCGACCTCGCAGAATGCACGACCCGTTACAGGTACGTTCTGTGCAAAGTTTTCAAACAGAACACGGCCTGAGGAAAAGTTCCTTGCTGTCCCGAGACCGACTTGAGTGACGGTTCGAGGTACAACCGGGCCGCGGGGGATAAAGTGGTGCTGCAGAGGTCTAGCTAGAGTGTATCGAACAGAGTGCGACATGCGCTGCTGAATAGATGGAATGCGCCCCGGTAGTCCTCCATGGATAGACTGAGCCACTGACGACGCTCGACGAACACCTAAGCCTGGTGCAGTAAGATGAACGTAGAATCGGGATGCAATTTGTTTGGCTGTGGATAGTATTCGCCGCGCTGCATTTCCAGTAGATGAGGTGCCGGCAGGTAACAAGCTTGGGTGCGCAGAAACATGAATGGATCTGGTTGCCGCCGTCCGTATTTTTGGAACGACGAAGGCGGAGAGATCGCGGGTTGCAGCCCGCGCTCCGTGAGACGCTATCTGCATCTCTGCAAAGTTGAGCGACGCGTTTCAGTAAGGATTATACTCGACGATGGCAAGAGGTGGTGGTCCAGAGCCAAGGTGCTGTTCCAGGAGCGCCGCCGACTACGCGTCAGTGGTGGCTGTACTTCGGCATGACACATAGGTCTGACGTGAGCACTTTTACGAAGTACGATCGCTCCTTAGATCCATCGTGATCGCAGTTTAAACTAAAATCGTTTTCGCGCTCCCAGATAGCCGCTTGAATACTGCCGTTCCATCGAGGTGGCGCCGTGACTAGCGGTCGTCATCGCCTTGCATCAACAAGCGTGTTATGACCAACTCCGCACTCGAAGGATTGTATGATGAAGTTCATGACGAACAACGACATGTACAGGATTGAGTCAGATTTCACCGTCATCAAGACCAACCAAGACGTCACCTAATACTACATATTCATCCTCGAAATACACATGTTCCTCGAATTCACCGATCTATTTTCGGACACTTTAGGCCTTCATGGAACGGGTCAGTAGATGGGTTAAAGAAGACGCACAGATGAAATCAGTGACCCCATTTGAGTCTATGGGTACTAATTCGGGGCGAAAGACCTCGTGGACCTGGAAAAAGAGTGAGACCCCGGACGACGACTTGGGAGCTATCATCGCTAGTCGACATTTTAGGCCATCATCTAGTTGCACGCTCTCAGTGTGCTCGAAATATATATACGAAGCTTGGTGAGCTCCATTCGCTGATCATTGAAGGAATGTATATTGGACTTTGGTACCATAAAAAGCGGGTAAGTAAAGCCCTCTGGGGCGGGGTTAAGCTTGGGTTAAGCCGTGTCACCCGAACAGGGCCACAGTAACAAGTAGATACATAGCTAGCAGGCGCAGTCTGGGACTCATAAGTTTGTACCCTGCATCGGACGGTTTCTATCATGCTTTCAAGATCACGCCCTCGAGCCTCTTCCGCCAGATATGCCTGAGTGTATTGACATAATCTTCTCGTGATCAAGCTCACCTGCTGCAAACGAGTCTACTTCGTTAGCCGCAGTTTTTCTCGCGCCTTGATCTTCTCTGGGGACTCCACCGACGGATCTATCATCGATTCCACATGCTTCGCTACGGAATCCAAGCCCTAGTATCCAGCTTGCGGTGACTTGCGTACCTGCGCTTGCGTCTCCAGCTGGAGAACCATCCAAACCGTAAATACGTACCAAAAGGACTGAGTGAAGACGAGGTGGTGCTCCGGAGTGTTCCTGTCGGCGATCTGGAGGAGCAGAAGGTGTTCCAGGGTAACGCAT